CCTAAGATCAACCAGCATCGTGTAGCATTTAGCTGACTCCTACGGCTCCTCGATAGCCTTAGTGACTTCAGACTGCGGACTGGAACCGTCGATACATTTGTAGATGCCGAACCCAACCTGGGGGGGGGGGCGAGGTATTGTCCGCTTTGACCCGAGGTCTTACGGTTTTGTGCTACAAAAGGCGCTTCAAGGCGGAGGGTGGTGTGATACCCTTTTACCCTAGTGACCTCGATATGTTCGATGTGGGATTCAGGACTCTTCCTTAGGTCCGTAACATTTTTTCGCACCCAACCTCGTGACGCCCTCGTCACGGAAGCTTGCCACCCTGCCTACCTCCCTCGAGGTGCTTGGTGTGGATCGAACGGTTTAGGGCTAGCTCTGATACCACTTGTCACGAGTCGAGACTTAAGCTCCGAACCCACGCGACTCTGAGACCCGGGCATTCACCCTTCCGGCATCTCAGATTAGTTTAACCGCTACGGTTCACACTTTTGTGAGGTATTGTCTGCTCTGGCCCCCCTTGGCCTCACGGTTTTGTCCTACAAAAAACGTCTCTCAAGTTTAGGATTAAGTCTCTACATATATATATCATTCTTTATCCACACATCCTCCTGATGTGGGATTGGGGGCGTTACACATTGTATTCAAGTTGGTAAGAATTAATCAAATCTGCTAGCTTTTTTTATTTGTTCTGATTTCTTCTTTTTCATTTGGTAACAATGGATAAGTGCATGTTAAGACTTAAAGCTTTGGTTTTGCTGCTTGACTTGTCTTTTTTTTTTCTAACATGTTCCAACTATTAAGTAAAATTTATGCTTGTTATGTGTGTGCTGTTTGTTGGTTCTTTGTTTTTTTATCCTTATAAATTTTAACTTTATTTCTTGTTAATATGGTTGATTGTAATGTTTTTGTTATGTGTCCTTTTTTACCATGAAATTTGATCCCTTGCTATTTTAAAATTGAATTTTCTCTGATTTTAGCCATTATATTTTGGTTGAAATGTTGTTTGGATTCATTGACATTGTGATCCAGGTATGTTATTTACTAATAGGCTTACTTGTTATCTTCAGAATCATGTTACAGGCTTTGAGATTTGGATTCTTGGTTTTGGGAGCTTTAGGATTTTACTTGAGTGTGGCTGCTAGGAGCTGTTTGGTGGTTACAGGTCGGTCCTTGCATTTCTTGTTTTAACTGGCTGTGTTGAGTCTAGCAGATTTTTTGGTGTTTGTTGCTTTAAGTTGTAGCAAAACTTGCTCTCATCATTTCAGTTTTTACAGTAGTTCGTAGTTTGTCTTTGTCATTTACACGAGGTTTACCTCTCTTTTTCTACAGTTCTTAAACTCTCTTTTATTTGTTTTACTTCAAAATTCCATACAAATTTTTATTTTTTTTTCACATCTCTTCCAAGACTCTCTTTTTAGGTTTTTGACGCTCCATTTTTGGCAATGCGCTTTAACATTAACTTCTTAAAACTTTTCAAACTCTTCTTTTTTTTGACATTTTGTTTTTGTTTTTCAGGGTGTTCTTTGTAAGATGTTGAAGCAATTAATACGGAAGGTTTTGAGCAAAAGGGTAGTTTCAGATTCTGGAGATAAGCTTCTTTTGCATTGCTTGTACTTGCCCACGAATTCTTTTCATACTGGATAGGTAATTCGTTTTTTCTTTTAAACTTTATTAAGTTTTTATGGATACCCAATTCTTTTCTCCATAGAAAAAATTGTCAAGTAAAACCAAATTGATGTCCTAACTCTAGATATTGTATTCATTGTTTGATATTTCAAGAAACAAAGTACATAGAAACATTGGAAATCTTATTTGCGATATATTTTTGTCAAGTCCTCTATGTGTGTGATGCATAAAAGAATCAATTGGTGAATTTGATTGAAATTTAGTTAGCGAAGAGTTCTTAAGTTCTATTCAAAAGTTGGCTTTTTCCAACTTTCAACACTCATAATCATATAGCAGAATCCAGTTCGATCAAGTTTTGGTTTTGCCCAAATTTTTTGCCTTTTTATGATGCTAGTAATGTTCCATAATGGGTGGAGAGATTTAAAACTTATTGTAACATCTACCTTATTGAAAACTTGAAGTGAAACATTCAACATGGCTTGCTTGGAGGGGTCTGAAATTGGTTAAGAAGAGAAGAGAAATGATGAGGGAGGGAATGTACATAATCTGTTCATACGTCCCTATTTATTTGATTTGTTGATTGAAAGAAGGTTATGTGAATCTAGTTCGATGATGTCATTGTTCCCTCAAAATATCTACTTCATTCCTTTCTTCCAAAATTTATTGCTGAATATACAATTATCAAGCTGTTTCTGATGCTTATAACCTTGTTTCTAATGGTTCGTATATGGAATTCATGTTATTCAATCTATGGTTAAATGTTGCTTCATTAGGTAGAAAGTTTAGATTCACTTCCAAACTTTTTAGAAATCACAATGGCTAATTGACTCAAACTAAACAGTTTGTTTTTGGTAAAATTAGTAATTTGTCTGTTCGTGTCATGTTTTGCATGAAAATTGCATGTCATAATTCATGTTGACATAGAAAACAAGAAATATATATTTTTTTGTTTTTGTTAAACTCATATAGTATTTTCGTTAAAATTTTAAACCATATCATCTTTGTCTTTTGTTTGTATGATTTTCATGTCATGATATTATGTCAGTGTTTTAGATTGTGAGGTTTAATTTTTTATAATGGCTACAACATTTACCCTTTTTAAGGTTCATTGTGCACCAAGAAGTTTTTAAAGACTACAACAATAATCCCAAGTTTCTCTGCTGCAGAAATGCCAATGCAACAAATGAAGCAGATGCTCGGACAGAAACAGTAGAGGAAGAACCCAAAGATGAAACTTCAGAATCTGAACCTGAAAAAGAAAGCAACAACATCTCCATTACTCCTCTCCTTCCACTGAATCCCTTGACAAGGACCTCAAAAAGTTTCATTTTTTTATTCAAGTTGGCCTCGTTTTACATGGAGAAATGGTCGATTTTGAGGATGTCCGTATTCTATATTGACAACAGGTGGTTTAGAAGACTGCTGCAACCTTTCAACCAAGGGCTTCCACAGCTACTGAAAGCCCTGCTGTGCCTGGAGCTGCCTTGTATATCGTTTTTGAGTTTCAAGGCTATGTCTCATTGCTGTTGTGTGGAGCTTTGTCTTTCAATCTTATATTTCCATTAAATGAACCTGATATTTGGAGATTGATGGGCATTTGGTACATTTGGATGTTCAGTGAGTTAGTCCTAAAGCTTTTACTTAATACTACTAATTTTTTGCATGCTCTGGTTATAGGGTTTCTATCGAAGTTATTGCGTGTTCTACAAACAACATTATTTAGTTACTTATTGCCTATTTATTTACAGCAATTCCATCCCTTCAAGCCAGGGAATGCTCAAAGAATGAAAAAGAAGCTAGCTCTTAATTATCTCTTTCTCATCATCCTCTTCCTAAATGTTATAATCCCTTTCTTTTGGAAGTCTTTTGAAATTGTTTGGTCTGCAAACACTGTAGCCTTCTTTGCCATGTACTTTTTTGCCCTTCCATTATCTCCCTTTTTATTTACTACAACTACTACTATATTACTTTCTGTGAGCATTTTGCTTATTGAATATATATATATATATATATATATATATATATATATATATGTTTCCTACAGCTTGGATGACTACAGAAAACAGATAAGTGCACTGGCATTCAATTGGAACAATGGTGCTATCATTCTTAAGTGATTACTAGCTTCAAACTCATGACGCATGCATGCGAGATATCAAATATCTTGAATATGATTATTGCGGCAACTCACAACCAGAATGAAGATTATTCATGGTTAACAAGGAAGAAGGTGGTTGTTTCATCTGAGCAAGACATGGATCGATATCTCTTAGAAATGTAATTACAAACTGATATTGATTAATCAATGTTCTTGGCATTATGGTTGTTTCTCTTACTTCTATTGAGGAAATATGTGTATACTCAGAAGTCCTTTAGGAGAATCTAACAATTGAAATTTCTGAATTTCTTCAGACATTTTCTTTGACATGCAAACTGATGAACCAGTGAAATTATCATGGTGTGTTTTTATGGATTTTCTTGATGATGATAGTAGCAGGCCATACACTTACCAGAAAGAGAAAAAGTCGAAGAATCCAAATAAATGTCATTTAAACAACGCACTGTAGCCTACATGGAGCCATTTACACCTAATGTCTTCGTCTCAAAGCGCTTTGTTTTTGCTTCCCTTACTCATAGGGTGACATGTAAGCAGGTTGCTGTGGCTGGCACAAACTCTAAAGACATTAAAGCAGTGCTGGGATCAAGATCAGACATTCCTTCTTGCTTGGCAATTGGGCAGATTTTAGCTAAGAGAGCAAGAGAAGCTGATGTATATACCACTTCTTATACTCCCAGGGAGGGACAAATTTGAAGGAAAAATCATAGCGTTGGTTCAGTTCCTCATTGATAATGGAATTGATATCAAAGTTTATCTTGACTTAATGCTTTACTCAAACTTGTAGAAGATGTTTTTCGTTATTTTGGCTTGAGAATATGATTGAACCAAAACCATATTTTGGATATGAAAACAATGTAACCATTGCATTTTTATGCCTTTTTTTTGTTTATTATATATCATTTTAATTTTACAATGGCTACTTCGAGCAAGCTTTTTTTTTTTTTTTTCTGTTTGGATATATATATATATATATATATATATATATATACTTATGGGGAGAGAGTAAGGATTCAATTTCATTAGTGTATTTTTATATTTTTCATCATTGAATTAAAATTAAATTTTTGACTAATTTGCATCAAAGTGATATTTTTAATTTTAGTTATTTTGATTCTATAGTAAAAAAAAAAAAAATTGTACAAGCTGCAAATAGAAGAAATTAGCTTTATTAATTTAAATTCTCATAGTTACTTATCAGTGTTTAAAACCAAAATAAGACACTTTTTATAAGGTTAGAAGCCAAAGACTCCTTCAAGAAAATTACAAAAAAATTCGACTTTAAAATTGATGTCTATTGTAAATAAAAACCATTGTACTTGAACAATGATCCTCCGTTCCTTGTACTTGGAAACTCTTGGTTTATTCAGGGGACCAAGAACCTTGCTGCAGGTTGTTCTGTTTATGTCAATGCCGATAGAAAATGTCCTAAATGAAAATCAGAAATAACCACTCCATTTCACTGATTTCTCAGCCATTGGGCCTTCCTGCAAGCGTTTGACTTGTATATGTTTTCAATTAATGAAATGAAACTAGCAAGCCTTTGCTAAAGTTTGATAAGTACCAGCTTCTTAACTTGACATGAAGCAAATGCTTTGTAAACCTTCAATGGCGATTGGATTCTTTCCCGTTTTCCATTCAATCAGTAGTATTAATTGGCCTTAACCCTCACCGTATGAGAAAACCGGAAGGGGCATTCGTTCTGCCCAATTTCCCTGTACCATCAGCCTCCTTGACAATTGAATGCTGGATTTACAATTCACATTGATAATAAAAAATGTAAGTCACAGATCATGGGGGGAAAAATCAAGTGATAATTAATATATAAGCACATAAATTGCCTAAGGCCAAAGAAAACGACTAACCTTGTTCACCATGATCCATCAAATTTTGCTTCTGAACAGTGCCACTAAGGTAGCATGGAACTCGGCACAAGGGTCGAGTAGAATGGAACAGGTTATAGTCAGGATGGATAAATTGCCCATTCACAAGCTGTTGTAGGCACAGCACACCTTCGGGCACCCAATGGACTCAAGAATTTGCCATTGGTTCAATGCAGCAGAAAATCACCTGTAAACAAACACAAACGATCAGCCAGCCCAAACAAAAACCATCAATTTGAGCCTCCAGAATAAATATGAATTGAGCTTTCTTTCAAGTTTCAACATGAAATAGTTTGTACCTTCCCAAAAAGGGAGAGTGGCAAATCCTTGAAATTTCAAAATAAGTATGTGATCCTGAACTTCATAATATTTCTCCTTATCCTCTGACTTCAGAATTGTTGTCATCTATAACTTCTCAACACACAGATCATTAAAAATGGAAAAGTAGTACATATGTTATTACTTCCGAGGTTGATCAAATAAATGGCAAGCTATAATTAGTCACCATAGAAACATAAAAGACTAAAAAGAAAGAAGCTGCGACCCTTTACAGGTTGATCAAATGCAGCATGACTAAACTTGTCTTTAGAGACAGAATAGCTTGGCAGCACTGCCCTTTATTAACATGACAATTGACAATCAAAAGAAACGAAAAAAAGGAGTACCATTATTTCATTTAAAGAACCCTTGTATTATAATAAAGAAATCTTATAACCATTTGATTTCAAACGATGAAGTATCAATAATGATGTCTCAAAATACATACATTGTTTACTTCACTATGCCAAGGCACAGAAATGCTAGCCGTGAAGGAAATAGGAATTAGAACCCTTGCACTTCTGAACTTGAGATGAAGAAAACACCTTCAAATGAAGAACTTACCTTATTCAAGGAAAGAAAAATCATTTGCATTAGATGAGTACAACAAAAGCTATAGCTTCTCAAGACGCATAGAAAGAATTGTTGGCTTACACTGTTTCTTAGCAGTTGAAGGATTATTATTGTATCAAACTATTCCTTTGCTTCATTGTGAAAATTTTAAAAAAATTCACCATTACGATGAGTATGATTACTGCTATCTTATCTATTATGTCTGCAACTACAATAAACACAACGTGATCGAAAATGCAACCACAACCTTGATCGTATTTTAAATCCCTGATCACAATATGAACAAATATTATTGAATGTGAAAAAGAAAATTACTTTTATTACTCTTTGAAGAATCAGTATCATAACGAATAAAAACAAAGCCCTCTGATTTCAAATGTAGAAACAAGAGTCACGTGTCTTACTAAAAGGCAATAAGTATTTTAAAAAGAAAAACCAATTTATATGACAGAATTTTGTCATAAAAAAATTTTTTTTGACATTATCCAATAATCTATTTCAGTTGCTCTAGAAAATCCTAAAAGAAGAAAATTAAATAAAAACTTTGATGTAAATAAAAAGGCAAAATTGTTTAAAAATTACATAACATTATTCTGATATGAGAAATAAGAACTAGGTGGGAGGCATCAATCACCTACATAATTGGTGAAGAAAAGGTAAAGCTTTTGAGTTGAAAGAAACAAAAGCTATATTATTTACGAATTGTATCCGAAGATTCATAGAATGAAATTTGGCTTACTTGTGTGTTAGAAGTTGAAGGAATGCCTTGATCTTCTACAGAATTCTGCATTTCCTCCACACGATTCTACATATATATATATATATATATAAATCACCAACACCAATTAATACTAATTGCTCATGAAAGCGAAAAGATGAATTAATTTTGATTTGCAATGCAGTCATAATCAACGCCCCCTACCACAAAATTTCTTTGTCAATAATAATCAAAGAAATTTGAAAAAACATACCCATTCCTTGAACAGTTTTTGTATGGTGCTATTGAGGCTTCCTTCCCAAATAAAATCCGCTTCACGGTCCCAATATCTTTGTACTTTGTGCAACATTGGAGTGTTTAACCCTCCCTTAGAGAACACCTTCATCTTTGGGCAATCTTCCACAACCACTGTGGCTAAGGATGGGAATCCAAAGGTATGATTCCCTGATGAGCAGAAGCTTTCTAGATTTGATAGTCTAGTAAGCTCCAAAAGGTTGAGTTTGGGGAAAATGATTTCATCCTTCACTTCATGGCGATCCCCATCGCTGCCTTCTACTATTTCTGCTATCCTTTCACAATTACCTATCCTCATTTCTCTGAGCTGCACTAGGCTTTTGGCTGTTGAATGTGTAACTAATTTTATGATCCCATCACATCCTTCAACTTGAAGAGTCATCAGATTCTGGAAACATACTGAGGATGTAACTAAATAACTTTTTAATTTGGGACACCCTACCACATGTAAAATCCTTAGATTTTGGAATCCTTCCTTTTCCTTCCATAGATGCATCAATTCATAAAGATAAGTAAGCCGTAATTCAGTTAACCGAGAGAGCACCATCGATGCAGATGCAGGCTTTTCCTCACCACCAACTCCTTCACTTTGGAATACCAACTCTTTAAAGTAACATCTTCTTATTTCAAGCCTTTCCAGATTGGGTAAGGATAGTAATTGGAACAGGTAAGATGGGAATATGGCTAATTGTTGAGGATACCGTTCAAGTCGGAGAACTTTTAGTTTGCAAAAGTAGTCCGATGCAAGTGGTAGGCCATGCAATCTCTCTTTCATCCATCATCCAATAGGTCAAGTTTTGTGATTTTGGTAGTGCAAAATTAAGACGAGATCATGCAAAGAAATAATGTTAATGGATCTAGAGGATGACTTATCGAACAATAAAAAATGATTGAATATGGTGGAATAAAAAGAGAATAAAAGTATATTTTAATATAATGTGTACTTTTTTTTTTACTGAACCATGTATACTTATATTGTCACACAACCATTGAGTTTATTATTATATAACATATTCTTTGTTAAAAATAGATAAATATCATATTCTAATTTGGATCACATCACACTTTTACATTATATCAAATAATTTTTTTAAGCATATAACTTTACTGAAAAACTAGATGTATACATTTAAAAAAAAATAAATCTGACGGTAATCCTGTCTAATTAAAGAGAGGCAATCGAAAGTTGTACTATAAAATCATATATTATATCTTCGTAAACAAATTAGAATATTTTATTCTTACAAATATATTAATAGTTTACGTATTTTCTTTTTAATATTTATTATGTTGCCATTAAATACTTTTTTTTATTTTTTATTTCAAAACACATCAATCTCTTTTTTTAAAATTCTGATCCAAAGAGTATTTAAGATTTAGGATTTAGGGGTGCTAAATACACCACAATTTTACTCTTCATACCCTAATTTTTAAAATTTTCTTAAGTAAAATTATTTAATTATATTTTTTTTACAAATTTTTGAATATTTATATTTGGAAAGTTATATAATTTTTTGGAAATAAATTTTTAAAAAGTTATATAGCTTTCCAAAATTAAATTTGCAAAAAGCTATTTGAAAATTTATTTTTGAGAGGTGAGACAATAAAATTTTTAAAACAATTACAAAAAAAGAAATTTTATTAAAAACTATTATTAATTAATGTAATGAAAAACTTATTATTGAAAAATCATAAATTTTAAAATTAATAAAAAAAAGTTGATTTTACTATTTGACCTTAGAAAAATAAACAAATCTTATAAAACTCCAATTAAATATTTCATCTCTTGATGTTATGAAAGATGATAAAAAAACTATTAAGTTACATTTAAAACCTGAAACTCTTAGAAGTTGTACAAGTAATAATATTGAATACTAAATAATTTTATCAAAATCTTATACGTTAATTGTAGAAATCTATCGTGATAAGTAGATAGAGATACTTTTTTAAAAATTTTAGTTTATTTAAAGTTAAAAAAATGGTTTATTAAAAAAATATGAATTTTAAATTTATAAAAAAGTCAAAATAGTTAAATTAACTTTTTTATTAATTCTAAAATTTATAATTTTTTTCTAATAACTTTTCTTATTACACTAATTAAAAAAAATTTTAATAAAATTATCTTTTTGTAATTTTTCTTAAATTTTCAATAAATCACCTTCCGAAAATGAATTTTTGAAAAATTGTATAATTTATTGGATATGAATATCAGGAAATTTATGAGAAAAGATAATTAAGTAATTTTATTTTTAAAAAAATTTGAAAAAAAATTATCATGTGAAGAGCAAAAAAAAAGGATTATCCTTCTCATTAGGATTTAAGGGCTAGGAATCTCATTAGCAACTAGTAATATAAGTAGTTTACCCTCTATTAGATTGTTGAAATCAAGAATAAATTCTTAAACTCAATGATGTAATTAATAATTAGGTACTATTTCTATTCAATATATAATTTTATCTGTCAATTTGTAAATGAGTTTAATTATTTGAAACAAATTGTATTTTTTTTTTTTTTTTACAATGCTTTGGAAATTCTAAATCATATGAGATTTTTTTTCTCAACTGAATTTTTAGATTTAGAATTTAAAGTTTAAAGTTTTAAAGGTTTAAATAATTTATAGATATGCAAATATAATTTACTAGATATGAAAATCCAAAATTTTAATAAAATGATATATTAAAAAACATATAATAATATTTAATAGTTTAAAACTCTATAAACAATGAACAAAATAATAATTTTAAGTTTATATTGGAGCAATGGAGGGAGGCATTAAAAAAAAAAATACCTTTTCATTGAATAGGTATTTTGAAACAGCCGTTTGGAAGTTCTCCATTGAGATGCTATTCTTTCCTGCTTCATTTCCAGCAGTTGTTCCCATATTTGTAGAATCAGAATGAACTGTGTTCAAAACAGGACATCCTTCTATATGCAGATTTCTTAGAGAAGGGAATTCAATCATATTTCCAAAGCCAAATCTTTTTAGATTGGGAAGATCCTTAAGCTCGAAGTAGTCTAATTTAGGAAACACCATTTTCCTCATCCTTTCTTCTTCTTCCACTAATCCTTCCGTCACTGTTATTATCTCTTCAATTTTATTACAGTTTACAACATAAAGTGTTTTCAGTTGCACAAAGCTTTCAACCATAGAGGAAGTAAATATATTCTTCAAATTATGGTAGAAGTGCACTTCCAACTTTGTTAAATTTTGAACACCAAAAGAATTTACTGAATGTTGCTCATACCATAGTTTTCTAACTACGATTGAGCTTAGATGCAACTCCTCTAAGCTTAGGAACACAACCTGCAAATAAAAGTAAAGTTTGACAATCAACAATTCCCTTATTATTCAAATATTAAAAAGAATTAATAATGATTTCCAGCATTGATATAACACAAAGAAATAATATATGATTGCCATTAACCATATATTTCTACAACTCTGCCATCTTTAATTATTCTAGCAATATAACCGAACTTTCTTGTAGATCAAAAAAAAATTTATTTATAGTTAAATAAATTTAATAAATCAATGAATATAATTTTTCTATAATTTCTTAATAAAAACAATGATTTATAAATATTTATTAATTAATTTGTGGATAATATTTTTATTTTATTTACATAACATGTTTACAAATCAAATACATATATCCATATTTTCAAATATAGTTAAAAATATTAAAATAGATAATTTAAAAACTTAAAAAGGGAAAAGTGCCAAGCAAAAAGGGGGGAAGAAAAATGACCTAAATGAATATGCCAAATAAACACTTCCACTTAGAGATGACAATGGACGGATAGGAGCATGTTATGCTTGTCTCGACTCCAACTCAATATCTGATTATTATTTTTTATACCTAAATCTAACCCAATATATATTTGTATAATTATATATAAAACATAATATTTTATAAAATAAATGTATTAAATAATAATTTTATTAATATAATAAATATATAAATTAAATTAAATAAATAATAAAAAATATATTCTTATATATACGGACGAGACAAAACAAAACACTTTAAATATATTTTCAACCTAACCTCGAAGTTAAAAAAAGAAAAATCATTCCTATTGAATTGGTTAATCGAAATCTATCATATACGAATGATTTTAACATCTATAAAATTTCTTACAAAATTCATTTTATTTAAAAAAAATGAACCAAAAAAAGGAATGGAAGTGTTGAAAAAAAATATATAAATAGGATTGCTACCTAAACAATTCTATTGTTAATTTATCTTCCAAAGCATAGATAAAAAATATTAAAACAGACAATTAAAAACAAAAAAAAAAAAGTTAAAACTAAAAAAAATGGCCCAATCAAACAAAATAGTCAAATTAATGGAGGATGCATGGTCACTATCCTTTAAGGATAGAAAAGAGGTCGAGTCAGGGTGGGCTTATACACACCTTGACTCTTAATTCGAATTTTCAATAATTCAACTCCATTTTGATTTTAACCAGACATTGCGTTATCATTAATTGATATCTAGTCCCAGCCTATTACATATATGTATAGCCCACATCCAATTCAAATTAATAAAAAATAATTTGATAATTTTAACTTAGCATAATATTCATAAATATTTTATTTGTTAATATAAATTATATCTTAATTATATATAAATATAATAATAAAATAATTCAACTCTACTTCGATTTCGACCAGACATCGAGTTATCATTAATTGATACCTAATCCTGACCTATCACATATATGTATAATCCACATCCAATCCAAATTAATCAAAATTAATTCAATAATTTTAACTTAGTATAATGTTCATAAACATTTTATTTTTTAATATAAATTATATCTTAATTATGTATAAACTTAATAGCTTATTAAAATAAACTATTACATAATAATTTTATTAATATAAATATATAAATATAAAATTAATTAAATAATAAATTATATATTTTTTATATATATCAAAGATGAGATGGAACATCTCAAATTCGTTTCCTACCTTTATCCGATTTTAAAAAAAAAATCGACCTGATCTCAAATTTAAAAAATAATGTACCTATTGAATTAAGAGAAATCAAAATCCATTGAATTTGTTTAGTCATCCCTATGTTCATTGTCTTTTTTTGTACAAAATTTTTTTGAAAATGGTAATTGACAAAAAAGCAAAAAAAGCCAAATCAAAGTGTTATAAATTTATTAAATTAAGATATTAAATAATAATTTTACTAATATAATAAATATATAAATATAACATTAAATTAATAATAAAAAATATAATTTTATATATATCTTAGACAAGATAAAACACTTTAAAATCACCTTTGAACAAACCTCGATTTAAAAAAAAAAAAACTCAATTTGTTTTTCAAATTTTTTAAAACAATACATTTATATTAAATCAAAACGAATTGAAACCCACTAGATACAAATTATTTCGTAATTTTTATATTCATTATTTTTCTTACAAAATTTATCTAATAAAAAATAAAATCAAATAAAAATTAAAACCAAATAAAAATAAAAAGTACATTTTAGAGGAAGGTTAGGGTGGCACATAGACCCCCATCTTCCTCCAAAATCTAGAATATTTATAGAATGGATTCTTGAAAGCCCTTTGGTTGAAATAATTAACTTCGTCCAATGATTATAATCTTTCATGAGATAATTAGAAAAAAATCAAATATTTGCGTGAAGTTGCAATCAAATAAAGTAAGTCATTAAATTATATTTATGAGTTATTAACTCCTAAAAAAAAAAAAACAGAGTGCAATTTTAGATCTATAATAATATATAATATCAGTAATTTCATTATATCACTCAAGTCATGACCTATGAAAGTAAGAGTTTTAAAGTTTTATTATTAGAGTTGTTTATCGATTGAACCATCCAGTTCTCTTTTTAAAGTTAATAAAAGGCTGACAACTCCTCCATTTATTTTATTGACAAAAAACCCACTCATTTAACTAATATTTTATTATTAAAATAATAAACTTTTCTATTATTATTAATATTTTAAACATATAAAAACAAAATTTAACAAAAATATAATATTTATTAATAAAATAATTTAATCAGCCTTAATCAAACCGAAGCTTAAAAAATCATACGCAGCCTGACCCTTGACATCTTTAGCTCCGACGATCTCCTCTATAATTCAAATAATTAAGACTTCAGCTTTAAAGTTCTAAGTCTACAATGATAGACTATCTCTTTGAAAGACTACAAAATGTTATAATGTTTGTGAGGAAAAAAAAAAAACAAAACCTACATGAAAAGGAGAATTATAAGACTTGAAGAAAATAACATAAAAGATGGGAAAAAAATCACCTTAAGGGATACATTCTGGTCTTGCAATATATTAACATATATACTTCATCACTTCATTTTCAGGTTAAGTTAATAGAAAAATTACAATCTAAAACACCACTGATAATAAATTTAAATTTTCACACCAACGAAATTAGATGATTGCTAAATAACTCATTAGGATATATTTTTTAAAAATTAATATAATAAAAAACATATGATAATATTTTAACCACACTTACAAAATTTAAAAACTCTACCAACAATGTATGAAATAAAAATTTTATGTTAAAAAAATGGAGAAAAGCATTAAAAAAATACCTTTTCATCGAATAGATATTTTGGCACATCAGTGCAAGGGTTCACCATTGAGATGCTACTCTTTCCTGCTTCATTTCCAACAATTGTACCCACACTTGTAGAATCAGAATGAAATGTGTTCAAAACTGGACATTCAGCTATCCTTCGTTCTCTTAGATAGAGGAATTCATTTGGATTTCCAAAGCAAAATCTTTTGAGATTGGGAAGATTCCATAACTTTAAGGAGTCTAGTTTAGGAAATACCATTTTCTTCATCCTTACTTCTTCCAGTAATCCTTCTGTCACTGTTATTACCTCTTCAATTTCATTACAATTCCCAATAGAAAGTGATTTCGGTTGCACAAAGCTTTCAACCATAGAAGAAGTAAATAGATTCTTCAAATTATGACAGTCCTGAACACTCAACTCGGTTAAATTTTCAACACCAAAAGACGTTACTGAAAGCTGATCATGCCATAATTTTTCAACTATGATTGAATCTAACCACAACTCCTTTAAGCATGGGAACACGACCTGCAAATAAAGAAAATATTTGATAATCAACAATTTTTTATTATTCAAATATTAAAAAAAATTAACAATGATTTCTAATATTGACTACAATTTTCAAGGAGATTATTAAACAAAAATTAAATATTTACTTGAATTTGCAACTACATAAAGTCAATTAAGTCATTAAATTTTGAGTATGAGTTATTGACTCCTAACCCCAAAAATAAAGCGCAATTGACGATCTATATATATAATATCAATTCTTAAGTTCATTATATAACACTCATGTCATGAAAGTGAATTGGAGTTTTAAGTTTCAGAGGCGTATTTGGATTGGCCTATCAAGTCTCCCTTCCAAGGCTGACTCAACTCACTCATTTAATTCTTATTTTATTAAAATAAAAAAATTTTATTATTAATATTTTAATATTGCAAACATATTCAAAATTAATATTTAACAAAAATATAATATTTATTAATAAAATAATTTAATCCTTATGGATAAGATTTGAGTTTAAAAAACTTTTTTTATGTTTTATTGAATACTTATTTTAAATATATTAATCGAATATTTTATGATATATTTTATTTTCATTAATTTTGATACAAAAATCACTAAAATTGAAAGTATAGCAATAAAATTCAATAAAACCAAAGTATAATGACAAAATTGAAGACTCACCTACAATAATAAATTTACTCTTTATCCTAATTATAACATTCACATATTAAATAGAAAATCTAGTTTAAGAAAAAGGAACAAAAACGAGATCAAAAGGAAAAATGTTGGAAGTGAGAATTTAATGAAAAGAAGAAATATATTGACATAAATACCTTTTGGTCAAAAAGCGATCTGGCAGTTGAACTTCCATCCATTGATTGAACTCTTCCTTGTTGAGACGAGGAAAGCTTTTCTTCTGAGTTAAACAAGCCAATGAAACTTGGTAGATATTTTAACGTTAAAGAGCGTAATTGGCTGAATTCTAAAATGTCATCATCACCAATCTCTTCCTCCCTCTTTTCTACAATTAACTCTGTGAAATTCTCGCAATTAGATACATAAATTTCTTGAAGGTGGCCGAGCTTTCTGGCTAAGGCGAATGAGAACAAATTCTTCAACATATTACAATCTCTTACTTCTATCTCTCTTAGTTGACCAAAACATTCAGCTTGGAGTTGACCATAATATATGGCCTCCAAATTGTTCAGTTTAAAAAGACGCAATGTCTCCAAAAGAGGAAATGCTTTACAAGAAGCCAACTCCATGGAGTTAATGAGATGTTTAACCTCTGAATCATTGCGGCCATCAAGAAGTTTTAAATGTGGGAAACCTTCAGTATCTGGATCACAAAGCATGTCCATGGCATCTTTCACTGCATCCTGACGTAGAGTTTCAGTTTTTCTCAACAACGTTTTAACCCCACTATCGTCCAAATGAATTCTTTTATTCAACATGAGTCTCAACTCTCTCGATTTTTTTGACTCGTAACACCACAACTTCTCTCCAATGAAAATTCTGTATCTTTCCAGCTTTTCAGAAAACAGTTCTTTTGGCATAGCTTGCACAATAGGAATATGGACTTCCAAAGTTGTCAAATGAGACAAATGTTGCAACTCAATAGGGCTAGCATTGGTTCTTTTCTTCTCATGTCCCTCAACCTCCCATCTATCAAAGCTCTCATAGAGGTATAATTCTTCTAATCGGGATAAACTAGACAAGACATTTGGTGGTATTACTTTAAGGTTGTAACAATAACTCAAATCTAGCAATTTTAGCTTGATCAATTGTCCTATTTGGGATGGTAGCTCTGCAATTTCAGATGCGCTGAAGCTAAGGATTTCTAAATTCTTTAACTCTTTAATGATGACTATATCTTTTAAAATGCAGTCAGAAAAACATAGAGTACGAAGATTTTTTAGGAAACAAAACGACGAAGGCATGGATGGAAAATACATTTTGGCAAAATCTAAGACTCTGAGTTTTTGCATTCCCCTAAAGAAGTTGTCTGAAATTTTCAAAGAAGAATCCTCACTACTCAAAGAGACAAAGGTAAGATTTGGACATTCCAACTGATCATGATCAGGAAGCTCACAAACCTTAGCATACTCCAAGCAGATCAGTTCACAATTTCTCATTGTTTCCTCATTTGACAACTCTTTGAATTCATCATCCCTGGCAAGCCAATGGTGGTCCCGTGATGCGATCGACATGGCAACATCATGAACAACATCATGCATATCAAAGCGCTCAAAGGTAGAACCATCAAGCAACAAAGAAGATCTTTTGAGGTCGCTAACCAATGCAGATGCTTTATATCGCGTTTCTTCAATTGTGTTAACTCCATGAAATAAACCCAAACCAATGCCAAATTTCAACAAGTCCTCGATGGCGGCATCATGACCCATTATGCTACAGAGTAGGAAAGTTGGTTGATGTTCCACATCTTCTAAAAATTTGTAACTCAACTCTATAGCTGAATATGCACCTGCTGGTATCCCCTTGAAGTTTCTTTTAGAGGGATTTCTTAGTTCATTCAAAGCATACTTCCAATCAGACAAATTCTCCTTATTTTTCATAGCTTCCGCAACTGTTACAATGGCAATCGGCAATCCAGCACATTCATTGGCCACTTCAATTGCCGTAGTTTCCAAGTCAGGGCTTAGAACAATATCACCTGCCTTCTTCTTAAACAGGTTCCATGCTTCTTCTTCTTTCAATATTTCAATTGGAATGTTTTTCAGCGAACCCATCAAAGATAAAGCATCAACCTTTCTAGACGTCAGTAAGATCTTGCATCCTTGGTGTTCACCTCCGTAAGGAACTCCCAGAGCCTCCATATCCAATTTATCCCAAATATCATCCAAAATAACAAGAACCTTGCTTTTCTTTAGTCTGTTACGCAGTTCGCCTGCTCGCCCGGGCTCACTCTGCGTTTCAAACTTCAGACCCAATTCATCTGCAATCAGTTCTTGAATTTTCTTGATGTCAAAATGCTGTTTTTATATACAAAAACAATTTTAATAAATTATTAATTTTACAAATATTAAATATATAATATAACTTCAATTATACTCAAATTTTAATTTGATATATTTAATATTTTTTATTACATTCATCATTATTTTTATATTTAAATATACATTTTATATTTAATTTTAAATTTATTATAATATTTAATTTCATCATTATAATAATTAATTTTATTATTATTTTTAATTTCATTAAAATTAATTTTATGATTCATTCGAATAAACCGAATCATGAGAATAAAAGAATTGCGTCTTTTCTGCAGAAGAGCATCAAAAAACGATATTAAAGGAAAGGATTATGATTCATAATGGCAAACCGAAAGACCAATTCAATGGGTCATGAAAATCAAAGAATTGCGTGTTTTCAGCAAAAGAGCATGAAAAGCCCAAACGTAAAGAAATGGAAACATGACGACAAACTAAAGGACAACTAAAGCACAGCCATCTGGCTTCATTGTGCTGTCCTTAGGTCTCGATTGTGTGCTTGTGGGCTGTGGCAAATGGTTTCTGTCGGTCAAGTATTATTTTTGAGTAAATTACATTAAATTCCTTGGTGTTAGGCACTACTTTAATATCACTCCATCAGTACGATTAGAAACTTTCAACAGGACTTAAAAATCTTGATTTTAAATTAAAATATTTTTATGAGCTATGTTCATTTTATAAATAAAAAATATATATATCATCATCCCAAGTTTTAACAATCAGATGATAAATACATTTTCAAAATTCACATCAAATTTTTATTAAAATTAGAGTTAGGTGTTTCATTCACATTCATATTGGAGTTAAAAATTTCTACTTACATTCAAAATTTCTTGATGCAATTAATTTTTTATTACAAAAATATATAATAGTTGTTAACTTTTAGCAAATTATTTTTTACTTTTTCCTTGCACCATTAATCTTATAGATTTATAAATTCATAAATTCATAAAATTGTAAAAAATTATGAATTTGAATGTTTGTAAAATTTTTAAATTTATGAAAAAATATTTTTATTATTCACAATTTCACATAAATTTTTTTAAAAAAAATCAGATTTTAAAAAACATTTCTGATTATTTTTGTCCCATTCTATTATTATTGTTAATTTTTATGTGCATGCAATTAAAAAAAAACATGCTGAACTTATGATTTTACCTTCGAATTTGAAATTCGAGATCTTTGTAGATATATATCAGACACCCCTATAAGTTGTAAACATAATTTCCTATTCCAACATGTCATACTCCTTAAGAAATGGAAAACAAAAGTAGAAGACATTAGACGAGGGATTGCTGGGCTAGATTATTTCTTGAGCCAACCAATATTTGGAATATTAGCTATATTTGAGAATTAAAGGTCAGATTCTAGCCTGATGTTTCCCAACAGTTACACCTCTCTAGCATAATGCTTGATATACAGCAGGAGTTTCCCAAATAAGATTCGACTGCTCTCCCCTACTATAAAATTTTCGCATAAAAACTTGACATGCTGCAGCAGTTGCGTGGTTGCAGCAAGTATTCGAATGGTAAATAAAAGGGATTGGCAGATCAATATGGTTATATATTTAGTTGTTCAGAATTCTCCCGCTCTCATTTCTATAGTAGCTAGTTATTGGAAGCTAAAGCATCAATGGCTTCGGAAATGAACTCTGCAAAATTCTTTGATTTTGATAAGTACTCTATGCTCTTGTCTATAATAAGTTGAGGTAATAGTTATTAGCAAGTTGAGGTGGTGCATTTCTTTCAGTAACAGTATTTTATGGCATTTTGATCAGAACTGCAAAATTTGGTTGCATTTGGCAGTCCTTATCGAGGACCTCATAAAAATAATCTGCGGCTTGAGGCTATTGCATATATTTGTGCATTTGATCTTGCCGACAAGTTCCCTCCTGCACACCCTTCTGAATGCCTACACAAAATATTCCAAGATGAGCAAATACAAGACTTTCAAAAAATGAAATGTGAAACTGGTAACCTTTGCACCTTTTCTGTCTCTGTTTGCTCAGAGTTTAAGCTGAGATCCAGCTGCTATCCTATTTTATATCTTTAAGACTTTTAACTCCACATGCTGGCAAAATCAGACCATAGACCAAGAAATTGCTATTATGAGAAGGGTCCTTAGATGCATTGCTGATCAGAAGCTTGAATCTCTATATCCACCTGAGGATCTTGAAAACTACATTGTTCATCTGGAAAGGCAGAAAGAACAGGGAAATGATACAGAACAAAGAGAAAAGAAGAAAGCAGAGAGGAAAAAAAATATGTCAGTCCCTTCAGCCGAGGCTAAACAACAGCATGAGAGTGGAATTAAGTGGCCCTCCATGAATATGTCAACAGAGGCCACACCAAGCCTTTCTGGTAGTACTGGTTGCAGTCTTCACTTAAAACCATCTCATCTTGAACAACTAGTTAGCTCGATTGCTGATCAAGCTGTTGCTTGTAGTTTGTGGGACTCCAATGCTTTCTCTGTAGACACAAACTCATTTAATTGGCAAGATGGGTGTTCAATTGCCAATAACAGGAGCTTGGAACAGTTCACTTCACCTGGAGCAGTTGACAAGGCCGCCCCAGCTAAAATCTCTTCTTTTTTTTTTTTTCTTGTTATTACTTTTTTAGTTCTTTTTATCGACCAAGATCATAATTCAATGTTTAGTCCTCCCTTCCTCAGCAACTTTTTGTTATTGTTGAATGTATTTGTTTGTAATTACAATAATTTGCAGCATGAATGGTACCGTGCGTGCTTAGAGTTTGGCAAGTATATCTTTGTTGGTTTTCTATTCTTTTGACACTAAAAATTCACTTGTTAAATTTATGTTCATAAGTTGATTCTCTAACCGTACAGAAAGTAGTATTCATCATGCTCAAGTAAAGATTGACCGACATCAATTAGAAAATCTTCAATTGGATGGCGTTGTTCCTTCAGAGGCAAGGATTGACCTACAATCTTATAGCACCGGTATGGATGCGAAGGCGTTAATACTTTTTCTATGTGAGCATGTGGAGGATCACGATTTAATGCGCAGTGAAATTTCTGACGCTCTTCAATTGTCTCCCGATCCTGCAAAACTTGTTTTGGATGCATTATCGACCTTTTATCATTCAAAGTCAGGGCATGCTCCTAAAAAGAAAAAGAACTCGGGATGAATTTATTAGGGAAGCCTCAGGAGAAGTAAGAAAGAGTTGCATTCTATTGATGGAGCAGTTAAGGACATTTCCGCTCCAGATTGAACCCCATGTAAATGAAGAGGTTTTGAAGTTGGCAGATGATTAGAAAGAAAGAACGCAAAAGTACCAGAATGGTGTGATGGCTTATGGTTTCTTGCAGCTGATAGTCACCTACTTTTTGATTTCTGCTTATGATGCGGATGAGCTTCTTGGTGTTTTGGTAATTGCAAGTGAGTATAGACAGTCTCCTGATTTGTGCCTGGCTCTTGGTTTGACAGATAAGATCTGCGGTTAGTCTACTTTCTATCTGTCTCCCTAGTTTATCGTTTCTCTTTTTGTTGGTTCGTTTAGCTGTTAGGTGAGGTTATCCTTGTCTTCTCTGCATAGCTATATTAATGCTACTATAGTTACATCTTCTCTAGCTGTTAGCGACCAGGTATAATGTAATGCAGGAATTCACCAAAATAACATTTGAGTGATTTCTTGAGGTACAACTTTTGCATATGGAACCCTAGATGCTACAACAGTGTTTTGTTGCATCATGTACTGGAATGGTACAAGAAAGGAATCAAAGGGGGTCCTTATGGGTAAATTATTTTCTTTTTTTTTTTCCGCTACAGTTCTTATTTGTAGTAAGTTTCTGAATTCTGCTAACTACTTATCTTGTTGTTTCTTTGCCAATCATCTCGTTCTTTAAATTTCTCAGCAAAAATATGACATTTATGGATTATAATGGTAACATATTAAGTTCAGGTGGTGTTTTCACATGAGTTTTTCTTTTTTTGCCTGACGGTATTCTGATGACACCTGCAAAAATCTGCTTTCAATTTGACAGTCTTGATTGGAACACTTGTAAAAAACAATCTAAGGCTTGAGGCTATTGCATACATATGTGCGTTTGATCTTGTTGACAAGTTCCCCCTGCACACATGCTGAAAGTTCACTTAGAATATTCCAAAGAGAGTTAGTATCACAAGGCCAAAAAATCGCATTGGAAATGGGTAACTTTTCCATAGACCTTTTATCATTATGCATGCTCAAAAATTTGCTGAAAATTGAACTGTAATCCTGATTCTGTGTGTTAACTTGAATGTGCTCGCAACATCAAATTATAGATCATGAAATAGCTATCATGAGGAAAGTCAGCGGATGCGTTTCTGATCACAAGCTTGAATCACCATACCCACCAAACGATCCCAGAGACTACATTTTACAACTGGAAAGGCAGAAGGCAGATCGAAACAATGCTGCTGGGAAGCAAAAGCAGGAAACATGCCATAAAAAAACTGGAAAAGTCCCTTCTGCCAATTCAAAACCACGGCACGAGTGTGAACTAAGTTAACCTCCATAAATGTTTCAGTAGAAGCCGTCTCAAGCACTTCTTCTAGTGCTGGTTCCACAGTTAAACTGTCACCTTTGCAACTACTGGAAAGCTTCTTTGCAGATCAAGCTGTGCCACACGTTTTATGGGACTCCACCAATTTCTCTGCTAACACAAACCTATTAAGTGGTAAAAAGCAGGCAGATATGGCTACCATTGCTGATAACAGGAGCTCAGACTCTGATTGAAATGAGCAACTTAAAGAAATTTAGCCCTGTGAGTTTGCTATTTGCCTTCTGTAGAAGCTTTTGCTTTGGTATTTGATTTCTAAGAGAGATCATGGAACCTGGACAATAATTTTTTTACCTGCTTGTAAAATGAGCTGTTAGCTCAGTGGCACTAGAGTCGGTTCCAGGACTGAGGGTTTCAAGTGGAACATCAAAAGTAACTGCTTGTAATAATTATAATATAATCTAAGAAAGTAATTTGCATTTTGAAAGTTGAAACAGTTTATTTGTAATTTGAAAATTTCCCTCATTGTTGCTAACCAAAGACATGGGCAGATGCCAAGATCAAGAAAAACTTTGCGCTAGCCCAGTCTTACATCAACGCAGCCCACTTGAATATGTCTACTCTTTAGCCTGTCTCCAGTCCTGGCTCCTGGTCCTGGTACTGGTTTACGTCCCCAGTCCTGCATTATAATAAAATTTACTGTTTGACTTAAATATTATTATTTTGCACTAAATCTAACTTTTTAGATTTGTGATTGGCAAAAAATGAAAAAAAAATTGTTTAGATTTGTAGATTTTTTTTCCTTAAATGGATAAAAACATGAGGTGGATTCAATGTTGATTTCGTAAGGGAGGCAAAGACCAAAAAGGAAAAATACAAATAAAGCTATTTGTCATTTTTTTCACCTACCACATGGCACATGCCACACCAACCAAAGCAAAAACGAAGTCAAAAACAAAA